CTTGTTAATTCATCTGATAAGTAAAAAAAAAATCTTCCCTCAGTGTCACAATATGCATGTAAGAGTTCAAAATGCTTTTCTGACTACAATAATTTATGATACTTTGCTTTTCTCATCACATATTTCTCCACTTCAGCCACCTCCACACACATCTCAGCAGCAAACCCTTCACATTTCTAAGCCCATCTCCCTGTGAGATGATATTCATCTTCACACTGACTCAAATACTGCACAGTGAGCCTACATAGCTACATAAAAAGAAGAATGAAATTCATGCAACACATCAAACAAGAGCCAAAAGAATCCTATTGAGATTTAACCAAAATCACTCTCCGTCTGTCACGCGACACTCAAGTCAAATTTGCTTGATTTTCACAGCCTCTACTGCGGCAAGTTATTAAATTAGGCTAACCTGTGGACCTACAATCTCCACTGCGGAATAAAAAGAGCACTGGATCCACTTTCCTGCTTAGAGAGGTTGAAAATGTGCAATTATACCATTAAGCTTAGTTTAACTTGAACTTAGAAGACATGTCTCTGTGTATAAAGTAATTATGAGAGAGAGCAGGTGGTTTGTAGTATTGATAAATTAAAAAGAAAAAAAAAAAGTTCAAACTAAGGTTTCAAGCATTTTACTTCCCCCCCTCCCCCCATTGTGTGCAATGGTTAGATTGTTCTGTAAGACTTTTTAAGTTGCACACAACAGTGAGAGCAGAATGTACTGTACCAGTCAATTTTTCCTCTTTTTATTTCCTCCCGTTAGTGTTTTGAGGAACGCTCTTCATGTTTATTAACACACGACTTCACATCCCCCAGTTTTCTGCACACAGTACAAGTCACATGCTGGCTTTACTGGATGCACCTGTGCGTTTATATGCTGTGCCCTGTGGGTTTGTCTCTTTGTGTATCTAACTGTGGCTGTACTCTAGCGATACCACCCGTAGAACAGGAAAGCAGAAGTTGTTCTCACAGTACCGTGAAATGGGGAAATTTCTGAGCTGGCAAACAAAAGGAAAAGAGAAGTCATGTAAATTTGCATTGCAATTTGTAAGATGGCTTGTGGAAAGTAATGCCTGAGGCTAGACCTTAGCGGCAACGGTAGTTGGGGTTTGTGTCATTCACACCTGAGTAAACTTATCTGACAGATAAAATGTGTTTTTTATTTCAGTGCAGGTGGAGTTTACAGTACTTTGTTTCAATGTTGAGCCAATATTTTAAATATAGCTGTGAGACAACAAAAAAACACAGAAACTCAAAATCCCCTCTCAGTGTAGCTGTAATTACTCAGTTTTTAAAAAAGCAACACTCATCTGCCAAAGAGGGGAGCGAATTAAAAAGTAGCTCCTCCACTAAATGTCTTTAAACCTCATTGCCACTAGAGACTATGTTGCCAATAAAAGTCCTTCTCCTGTAAATGGGGATGCCAAAGGAAAAGGTCAGCTCGGTTTATTGTAGTGTTGCCTCTCACAAGCCAGTTGTACGTCACAAGAGTGTATACAAGAGTATCAAGTGTGTATCTGCATGGCTGGACATGCTTTGGATCCCTAAAGAGGCATTCTATTGAAGGAGATAACTGGTTGTGTTTTCATTAAAAATACCTTCCCTGTACATGTCTACTTCCTTGTATTATTTTTTTCATTATGCTGAGTTTATGTTCTGGCTCATCAACTGAAGCACACATACAAGCATAATTAAGAGTCGACAGCAGTGCACTGCAAGAGCTAAATGTTCCCAATGATTGTATGCTAAAACGCCACAAAAACATCACCACTCTACCATAATTAAAGTGTTAAATAGATCCAAAAGCCTTTGGCTTGTAACCTACATGATTGGTATATGCATGACCTCACAACCATAACCACTGTTTCTCCTGATTGCATAAAATCCCTGAAGACAATAGCATGTGTTTGTACAGCACTGAGGGAAAGGGGAACACTCAGAGCTGAAGCAGCCGATTCTGGTCATGACATTTTTCACACTCGAGTAAAAATGGGTCACACTGTGCCAGACAGAACTTGAGTTACTATTGTTTTTTGCTTTTGTTTTTTTTCCCACAAAACATATGTAATGCACCAATTGAGCACTCACTGGTTACCTTATTAGGTACTTCCTGTTTGTGCCAAGTTGAATCTCCATATGCTTTGAGAACCGCTTTCAGTCTAGAGCAGGGGTGGGCAACTCCAGGCCTCGAGGGCCGGTCTCCTGCAACTTTTAGATGCGTCTCAACTTCAAATAATGAGGTTGTTAACAGGACTCTGGAGAACCTGACTGCACTTAGGAGGTGACTCAGCTGTTTGATTCAAGTGTGTTGGACCAGGGATACATATAAGAGTTGCAGGACACCGGCCCTCGAGGACCAGGATTGTTTATTTCACCCCTGGTCTAGAGTCAAAAACAGACCTCATGAAATCTGGTTCATGTTCACCAATACCATTACATTGCTGCTGCAGATTTTTCAGCTGCACAGATAAGTGAGGTGATTTGAGTACAGTGAACCCATTAAAGAAACCAATTTGAGATTATTTAAACTTTATGATATGATACATTACTTAGCTGAAAGAGATCAGCAGATGAGTACCCATTATGACCAAAAAGAGATGGTCAGGCTCCGAAAAATACTCTAAAAAGCTGTGGCGCTAGGTGTGCCAGGAAAAGTCCCTCACATCATTACACCACCCCAGCAGGCTGAACTGTTGAATTTTTTTTGTAATTCTGACCACCAGCTGAGCATTGCAGCTAAAATCTAAACTATTCAAACCAGGCAACATTCAAACTGTGGCACCCTCTGTGGTTTTCTGCTGCTGTACCCCTTTTGCTTCGAGGTTCAAGATATCAACAGAGCTCAGAGACAGTTATCAGCATGCCTTGGATGATTTGTAAACTCAAGTACATTAACATTCCAGACCTGCCCATTTGGCAACTACAACAATGCCTACAAGTCTCATAAAATCCATTCCTTCCTTACTCTGATCTTTGATTTTTATGTCAAGCTTTCTTCACCCCACCCAGATCCCTAAATGCGTTAGGTTGCTGCAATAGAAATAGCTGATTCAATATCCGTGCAAACAAAAACATTAAATAGCTGTATCTGATAAAAGGAACCAGTGAGTGAAGATTTTAGTTCAAAGTTCACTGCAGAATAACATTTTGCAAGAGCACCACTATTAGAACTGAATTACCTGAACAGGATTGTGCTCTAAAAGACTCTGAGAACTCGTCAGCTAGAGAATAAAATGGTGCAGACTCTAAAAGACCAAATACAACAAAGAAGCAATAACTAAACCTCTGAGTTCGTGGGAAATAAGAGCAAAAATGCCTAAAAACAGAACAAGAGAAACAATAGATAGTTGAACCATTGATGCTATGCCAAAGTTCTGCAGAAACCTCTTTTGGGAATTTCTTTGTCAGTGAAAGAAAATACTCTATTGCTGTAAGCTGTGATACTTCCTCAAGACAGAGCTGTAAATATGTTTTTTTAATAGTACATTTTAAATAAAATTCTGCTGAACATGACTCACCAAACTACAATGTAGTACTTCTAGAGTATTTAAAACTAACAAAAGATAAAACATTACAAACTAAACATTGAGGGCTTATTCCTGAATAGTAGCAGAACAATATGGGGTTTTATTTTTCATGAGTGTAAAACTCCAGACTGCTTCTTTTGTTCACCTTACTAAGAACTGTGAGAAGACACCATATTGGATAAAATCAGGCTCTTTACTGACCATTTAAAACTAGTCCTTACTAGCCTAAAGCCTCATGTACATGCCATGTGTTAGTAGTAAGCAGAACTTATGTAGAAGCATGATTTCATTTAAAGTTCAGACGATTATGCAGTCAGTGCTGCTTTCTAGAGGTACACGAGAACAATGAAAATTAAAATTAACTGTTTTGAAAGCTCAATTTTACAATTAGAAAAGTAAATGATGTTAGACCAGATATATCTTATTTGTGTTTTAATAATATGTAAAATAAGTGTTAATAAAATATTTTTTTCTTCTCCCATATGTTTCCTTAGTGATGAGGATGCCTCCTTCTCTAATGTTCAACCCATCATTCCTGCTGATCTGATGTCTGTCAAAGAGATCCTGAACATGAACAATTTACCCCGCCACAGGACTTGGTAAGACAGGATTTCAGCCATGTTTGTATATGCGGTATGTTTTGTTGACAATTCAGCCTAGAGTGACATCATAGATATAAAAGCAAACAGTGCTGTCTGCATCTAGTGACGCTTCTCTCAATTACTTTTACAACACAGCGGACTGCAAGTCCCTCCAGGTCCTCAATTGTAACAAATCTTTGTCATGCCCTAGAAGGGAGACAATATGCTCTCATATTGTTTGAGAGGACAACAGTAATTGCATAACAACATCTGTGATACTTTTGTATAGTGTAATAATAACCACAGGAAAATATCAGTAGAGTGTAATCAAAAATATAATTTTAGTAATTTAATTCAAAAATTAAAACTCAAAGAGTTTCCACACATTAGTGTTTTGTGACTCTATTAATCTTGATTATTATAGCTTACTGAAAACCTAACATCCAGTTTCCAAGGAAATGTGCCTCTGCAGAGGAGGTCAGCAAAGCCACAGTGCTTGAGATTTGCTCCAGTAAATCTGCTTTGTTGACTTTATTGATTCCGATATTCCTTTTTTACAAAACTCCATAGATTGTGCGTCCTGATTCTTATGATTGCGATACGTTTTTCAGTTTCTAATGGGGTAGGGATAATTTTGTTTATAAAATGGCAAAAATAAATAAAATAAAATAAAAATACTCATGCTGAATTAAAGACCGGGTCCACCCCCCTTTCTTTTGAGGACTTCCTCCCTATATGATGTATGGATCTTCTAATGCTCTTCCCATCAATCAGATCTCACTTTCATATCCTTCATCTCCACACTTTAAAGAAAAAAACAGAAGAGGGTCAAGTTCTATGCACACTTTGCCCTGCAAGTCAGATCAGAGTAAAAGCTTTTAAAGTCTCATCTGACAATGGAAATCAGGGCTTCTTCCTCATCTCATTCATCCATGTCTATAAAGGCCAGCTGGTGCCCTTCAGTTGCTGTTCTAAAGAATGTCACACCAGTAATGAGCCATAATCACTCAACTGTGTCATACAGCAGAAGCTTTGTCTCTATTGCATACAGAGTAAGAGGAGAAGGAAGCATCTGCAAAATGGTACAGAGTTTTATCAGCTGGTTTTTCTGATGGTCAACATAATATTAATGATATTCTGGATAATCAATGTGGCATTCCAAAAAGAGAGCAAAATAAAGCAATTTTAGGCACAAACATTCAGGAAGAATACCCTAAATCTGGACATTTAATTATTCTTTTTTAAGAGAGTTAGGTACTCCAGGGATCATGTCAGAAAAGCTCAATAATTCCTGCATTAATACATCTTTACAATTGGTGATCCAAGTTGTGAAAAGTGTTGTAAATCTAAGCTTTGACTAGGCTTCCGTTTACTTAACAACATTTCTACTTCCAGGGACTCATCACCAGGTTTGATGACACTTGTAAGGGATTTTTGTGAAAGGCTTGTACTTACAATCCAAACAAGATAAAATATTTACCAGCAGAAGAACAGTAGTATCATGCTGGTTACCAGATGTAATTTGCTACCAGAGCATGTAGTCTAAAGTATTAGTGAATAGGAATCTAGGAGCACTTTGTTAACGGCATGTAGTGTAGAGCTATCCTTTACTCTGCGAGTGTCTCCTGATCATGTTGCCAGAACAGGATTACTGTTCAGCTGTCAGAAAGAGGATGTCACATCTAAAAATAAGCCCCAGAATGGAGAGGTTTAGGTCGCAGAGAACAGAAGCAAGGGAATTGTTGCCTCTGGTGACTTGATTTGCTTTATCAAAATCCCTCTCTTACTGTAAGGGCACCTTGTTTCGTCTGGGTCACGCAGCATCTGTCTTGAGATTTAATAACTTCTTCACATTTGGAGGCTTAAGTGCAGGAGCAGCTATTTTGTTGTCTTCCAATACATCCAGAATATGATTACACTTGTGTCAAAACATCTGTGACATCTTTAGGTTGTTGACCTTGTCAGCAGCGTAAATTGGAACATTGGAATATTTTTCCCCATTTCTACGCCAATGTGGGGTGGAGAGAATAGAAAAGAAGCAAAAGAAAGTTTGATTTCATACATTAACTAAAATTTAAAAATATTAGAAAAAAAAACACCTGTAGATCCTACCTGACAGCACAAAGTATACAAAAATAACTGAAAAAGAAACATCATGCCTTGATCTAAAGCTCAAGAACAGATTAATTAATTTAGAAATTGTTACAAAATGACTCCAGTCATCAATTATGAGAGCTTTCATCCACAAATGGAGCAAACACCAAGTTTCCTTGCATTAGTGTGGATCTTGTTTTTCTCATTGTAATTTTATTTAGCATCATCTTAATTTTCGTTTCAACGAAGCCCCGTCAAAGGAATATTTGTTGTCGCAGAAAAAAATCCATCTATCCATCTACTGCAAAACAAATGTAGCACAAAGCCTTGTTTGAAATTTGCCAGAAACTATCTTGATAATCCCCAAGACTTTTTGGAAAAGTAAAAACAGAAGACACCTGAACAGGGGCACTGTTTTTTTCTGTCCCTGTAAATTGGAAAGTATGGCGAATACTTAGACAGCATTACCATTGAGGTGAAATTAAGGGGAGATTCTAGCTGTGCCAAAGGAGCATGAATGGGTCCTACCCAATTTACCGTCTCACATCTCTATGTGCTCTCTTCCCTAAACTTCATTATTATCAGACAATAGCCCTTTTCATTCTCTGTGCACAATTAATCCAACTTTACCAGGCCATTTCAGCTTTTAAATATTTTGTCTTGCTGAAATAGCACATTTGATCTAAACCAGATGGTAGATTTATTTTTAATAAGTTATCACTGTGATAACTTTTTCTTAAGTTATCATCAAGATGTTTCTCAGACATCTTGATGAATTCAGCATGTGTTGAAACTTCAGCACAAAGGGAGGGAAATCCCCTAATGTAGAGTATGATTAACTCCTGCAGGTTAAGAGCTGAAAGATGGGGTTGAAAGCTTATGAATAGTCGAACACTATTACTTTGGCTATGCCTGACAGGATTTGAGAGAGTGACATTCATTTTAATTTTTATTGAAGAGAATCTGGCATTTGGTGGTTTTCCAACATTTTGCCTACCTACATGTTTTAGGATGAGATGCAATTTCAGCAACAGCTCATGTTAAAATGAAGTTAAGAAATTCTGTGTTTTATCCCCTCGAGGCTGAACATATTTGAGCCAAAATATATCAAAAACACTGGCACACACTAAATCATCAAGTGAACTCACAAGTTAAAGCTGTGTTTTGAGCACCTGGATGTGTATATGATTCTAAGCATGTGCATTTACTTGCATATTCATTCATCCAGGTTCTGCATTTTACAGAATAATTACAACCATTTGGGGTCCATTATATTTACTCTACTGGCCATCAAAGCAAAGGGAAGAGATTATCTGAAGAATGAAGTTCCAGTCTCTGCTGCTGCAACGTATTTGTTTGTGAAGTAGGTTCTGAAATAATTAAACTCTTGGGACTGTCAATCAAAAGATGGAAAAAAAATATCCCTGTTTAGGGGCGACTATTAAGATGTCTAGAAAATGCAGGGAAAGTCCATAACTGTGTGTGAAGCATGTTTAAAACCATACATATGGATGAACTATACTAAACACAGGAGATGTTGGATGCAACATAAGATGGAAATATTCACAACTACAACAAGCTATACACATGTGAATTGATTCTCTTTCAAAAGCAAGGAAACAGTAGAGCAAGCACAGATATAAAGTTTTCACCAGCTATGAAAAAGAGAAAAATATGTTTTGTTGTAGAATAACTATCACCTTAAACCTTTAAAGATATGAGCTCGACAAGAGAAATTAATAGTGCCTCCTAACCAAAAACAGAATCACTTTGAACTGTCCACATGTGAATTCCTGAGATATGCGGCAGATTTCTTTGGTAGCAGGCAGCTCATCTTTTTAAATTCAAACAAACCAGCAGTGGCAGCTGGATTTAATTTTCCTGTCCTGAAAGAGTAACATCCAACTCCCTTTAGTACACGGGAGCAAATGGAGCTCATTATACAAAACGACATAAGCACAAAGCAACAAATCACAATGGTCGACCCTGAGCATTTGAAAGAGCCATAAAACAAAATTAACATTTGTTTAAATAAACTGGGAGAGAATTAAACATCTGCATTCAAAAAACGATCAGTGGTACCTTGCAATTGGTTCAGAACCTGCTCAGGTTGTTGGTGCTGCTGCTACTTTGTCAAATTAAAAAAAAAAAAAAAAGAAAAAAGTTAGGTAATGCAGGTAATACAACTACTAAGGCGTATTGCCGTTTTACCTTGGTGTCCGTTATACTTTGTTATAACTTATTAAAAATATATGCAAGTAATAATAAGAACATTTTTTAATTTTCCTTTATGATAGGGAAGTTCTGCAAGAAACGATGGCTGCAGATGAAGAGTACCACAGAGAGAAGTGGACTCGCTTTGGTAATGAGGCGGAGAGGACCGAGATAGATGTGATAAGGAACCAGCATCTGTTGCGCAATCGTGTTGACAAAATGGCGCTCCGCAGACAGGTAGAAACATGTGTATCTGGATAGTTCATGTATACATGAAGTGTACATGAATAGTACACTGTACTGTACTATTTATAAAGCACACTGCTTTACAGACATATTCACACCCAAGTTTTCCAAAGCATTTAGTATATTTTATTGGAATTTTGTATAAAAGACTAATGCTGTGCAATGTCAAATTGTTAAGGGGAAGAAAAACATGAACTAGGTTTATTCCAAGAATTTTTATTTTTTTTACCTGTTCCTTGATCTTTATGGTGCCATTTGTTTACTAAGGATGTCTAAAAACTTCTGAGGTCTTCTAAACAAAACACCAGTTACACTGAGATTAAAATACACACAAGACTATTTAAGAATGCAACGTGTTACAAGTAATTCAGTTTATTTAGAGACGATAAAGGGTTGCCTAGAAAACCCTGCTACAGTTTTTGGAATTTCAATTATATTCCTTCCACTTCATAGTGATGGACTACTCTGTATTCCTCTACAACATATTTAATCACATAAAATCTGAGTAAAATACATTCAAGTTTACCTAACTTTTGTGAAAATGCTCAGGAGGTATGAATAGTTTTGCAATAAACAGAAAACTCAAAAGATTGTCAAATTTATAAAGTACTACAGATTAGTTTTTCCACTATGTAGAAGGAATGAAAAAGAGCCTAACATTGTAATGAACATTCACATTTCTTCACAATATTTATTTTTTTATACCGTAATCTCTTACTTCCTTGTTGTCTTTTCTAACAAATACAAAGTTTGTCATGCTTCATTTTTCCTTTTCCACAGAATATATCAGTTTCTTAAAATACTGTCCATCGTCTGTATTTCAGGCAGAAAATAAGAAGTCTGCCCATATGAACTACTTGGAGAGACTGAGTCAGAAAGCTCCAGATTTCACCATCCCTCTGAGAGCTCACACAGTCTGGGAGGGAATGACTGTGATACTGTCCTGCAGTGTACAGGGTTGTCCACCCCCAAAGATTCAGTGGTATGAATGAGCATCTATCTGTTCTGCATGTCATTTCTATGGCTTTAGATAATCTATTGAGTGTTTCTTTTTTTTTTTTTTTTCCCCAAGACGCTACCAAATTTGAGTTGTCCTAGACATCCAGTCTATGACTGAACTGTCAAATCTATCACTTGAAGCCATTGGCAAAATGCAAATGAGAAGCAACATTTCTGGCCAAAGTATTTGACCTCAGATCCACTCCCCTCTTAGTGTGCATACATTTTGAATATAGAGATTTAGTAGGAAATAAGATATCTTAATGTCATGTATATAATCCGGGTTTTTTTAAAGGGTCTTAATTTCCAAAAATAAATAAATAACTTGTTTCTACTGCAAAAGCTAATGAAATGTGGTTTTTGGTACTCATGCAATACAATATAAAGTCATGCCAAAATTACTGTTGGCTGTGTAAATATCAGTAACATATATTCATAACAGTCAAATACGGGTAAAAAGAAATAGAAATGACCTCCAGCATGTGGCCGAAAAGTCAAGGCATTTTCTTCCCAAGCCGAGGTCCCAGAGCTAAATATTGCACCGTGTATTAATATAAAATTGCTTGTGCAAATTCAGGAAGTTTGCCAAACTATTGACCCTGAGACCTGAGTTGCTGTGAGACTAGGTGATGAAAGGGCTCAGGATATTTAGTATGCATGAACACTGAGATCGAGATAACCTGTGGCTCCCGAGTTTAACCAACCCATATGGGACCCATCAAGCCCAATGAGCTGCAAAGGTCTGTGCTCAACAAAAATCGGCACATGAGAGAATGAAAGATCAAAAGCTTGCCTTCTGCTGTGTACAGTCGTCCAAACTTTACCTCGATGTAGAATGTTAAAAACGAGTAATCAGTAAGCAGGAGAATGTAGCATCCAAATGCAGCTTTTGTTTTCAAAGGAACATGCATGCATGACAGTCATATCAACAAAGACTATTTACTTATTCTTCAGGTACAAAGACGGTGAACCACTAATAATATCTTCCCAACCATGGAATTACAGCCTCCAACAAAATGTTGGCCTCAGTTTACTGGAGATCAGAAGGTAGGTTCATGATTAAAAGTGCTATTAATGCTGAAAATATTTCCATAAAAAGCTTATTATGGGAGTGGACATAAATGGATGAAACTAAAATTGAACAAGGCAAGATATTCTGCAAGATGTGGCTGGCAAAATTAAATATATATTTTTTTCCCCTTGGGGTTTGTTTTTTTATTTATATGAACGACCCATTTGAGCTAGAGAACTACATGTGGAGTAAACATTGTTTTGTGGTCAAACATTTACAATGCATTCTTCACTCTTCAAAAGGTGCTTTCCAGCAGATGCTGGAGAGTATAAAGTGGTTGCCAAGAGCGCTCTGGGCGAAGCAACAACATTTGGAACCTTAGTAGTAAACTGTGAGTGACCTTATACATGTCAAACAAGTTTTGCTCCAAACCATTATGAAAACCAAGATGGATCCCGAGATAGGGAAGAGTTCACTTTCAGGCTTTATATTCGTTATGAGGCACTGGAAAACTGATTTGGCAAATATCAAAAACAAATAAATATTCAGATTCACTACAAAGTGAAATATCTACAGACAAATTCAGTGCACATGTCACTGCTGTCATAAAATTATCCAGTGATGAGTATAAACAACTCCGCATTGCACAAATATTAAATTAAAAACACATACTGTATCTACTTAGTTATTTATTGACAACACTGCCTCCTAGTGGCTGCGTTTCAGCTGTAAAATATTCAAACAAACAAGACAAGTGCATCTTAATGAATCTAAATACCTGAATATATGAGAAACTCATTTATAAATGTAGTGAACCTTTTAAATAGAGGATATTTTCTGTATCAATATTTTAAAAAAAAACTGAATTAAGTGTTTTTGTTTCTTGTCATTTTAAATTTTGGATTGACTAACAGCTAATGAAAACCTCAAATGCAGTTTCTCAGAAAACTATAGTACTACGTAAGACAATTTATATTGCAGAAATGTTCCTTAGGCTTGTTATGACCTACATAACCATGAGGAAGCAAACTGATTTGTCTAGCAGGCAGACATTGATACCCTCCATAAAAAGAATAAGCCACAAAAAGGTTATTGTTTTTGAAGCTGGCTGTTTACAGTATGATGTATCCAATAATGAAAATTTGAGTAGAAGGAAAAGTTGTGCAGCATTGAGAGGCTTGTCAAGCAATGGTTAGGGGATTTTCACAAAAAGTCTACTTTTTCAGGATAGGTTCTCCAAGTTGTTGTGTGCAAAGAAACGCTTAAACCAAGGAAAACACCTCTAGAGTGCATATAAAGCAAATCACAGCAGCAGGCTCACATTTATATACTGAAAATTTGTTTTACGATCTGTATTTATTCATTTTATTTTTGACACACTGATTTTGGGGTAGTGGCATTTGTTGTGAGCCATAGTAATCAAGACAACAGAAAAGCAATTGAAACATCTCTTTCTGTATCTTAGTGAGTTTTACGCTGAGTTGGATTATTGAAATAAATGCAGTTCATCTGATTTTCAAATTTATTAAGATGAACACAGAATATTCTGTCCATGAATAGATCATTGTAGGTAAGCAAACTGTAAACACAGGTTTTAGTCAAACAGACAACTTCTAATCAAGCTTTTAGTCTAAGTAGAAACCACAAGTGAGTCCAGGTGGGGGGGACATAAGAAGCTTAGTGCTAGAATAAACAGTGAAGACGCTCCAAGCTCTTATCAAAAACATTAAAACCACAAGAGACAGAAGAAGTGCTTTAAGTGTTTCAAACAGAGAAAGTAAAACAGATAAACCCAACACTTGAGAGCATCACAAACCTAATTCAGTGGCCATTCCACCTCCCAAGAAAAAACAAACAAAAACAGCAGGCTAGACTTCCTTACTATAATTATTGTGAAATAATAGGAAACTAGTTCGAACGAAACAAGTGGTCAAAACCAGTGCACGATTATGAAAAGCATCTCAAGAATTCAAAATGCACTAAAGTCAAAATGACGACGACGAACCAACGGGTCCTGCCACCAATAAACAACCGCTTTCACTCAAAGCAACAGCATGGGCCAAACAAAAACAAAAAAAAAGGTATTTACTCACCAGTGGCAGAACCGTGGAGTTGTGTCACATAGATTCCTATGAAGTCCGCAAACAGCCTGCAGCCCAGTCAGTGCGTTTCTCGCAACAAATTTTCCAGTTCTCCACACTAAACATACATTAAAATATTACAATTAATCTTAAACCGCATATTTCCATTGACCAATACCGAGTTAGTTAGCTTCTCACCGTAAGTTTATGGTGGACGATGTTTATATAGATCCACTTGCCACACTTGGTCATACCATGTATCTGTGTAATTTTTTGTTGTACAGTAACAGTTGCAGTGGTACAAAAACAAGCATGAAAATTGAGGTCTTGTTGTTGCCGTTATGGTCAGCTAATCACAGGTGAACACAATTTAGCCTTAATCAGGCCCTCCACCTGCTTTTGGTATCCTAGGAAACTAGGCTCCTTTCACGTGTAGGTTAGTCGTGTATCAGATCTTATTCAGTACTTCTGATTCATGAAGCCATAAAACTGGAATGAATAAGGCCTAAGTGAGATTTGCTGTGCTTTAGCTGTTGTTCTTGGTTATTTTAGGACTTCCTGGATGAAACATTTATGCTGTCAGAGTAATTTTGATTGGCTAGAAATTCATGAAAAGCTTCACTCCTATTTTATGTGTGGGGAAAAATGGTTCTCACTATTTTTCTAGTGTCCCAAATACTTCAAAGGTGCCTTATATCATTTTCCAGACTGATATATAATAATGCAGGGCAATTTAACACTTTCTCCCAAAAAAACAAGGAGGGCAATTATATTTTAAGCAAATGACCAGGGTAGTTTGGCTGGTGTTTTTCTTTAAAGGGATGAAATCTTCATTTGAAAAAAATATTTTTGTATTTACTTATTTTATTTTTGTCTGATTTATGAACATTGATATCATTTTATGCAGAATCCGAAATATTTAGGTTCAACAAAAAGGCTAAAATAGAAATCATCTGTAATAGGGAACTACTTTTTTACAGCATTGTGAAAATCTTATTCAACTACTCAAGGTGTGTATTCTTTGGGTATATTTTAAATATCTGTTTTATTTATTTACTTTTTTAAATCCTCAGTTCCAGAGAATATTCTGTGTTTTCTGTAAATGTGGCACTGCCCAGTTTGATTTGCCTCCCTATTTTGCTACCTTCTCCTTCATTTTTACAATGTTCTTCCTGATGTCTCTCTCTATTTTTTAACTCCCCTCCTTTCTTTAATCTGTCCTGCTCTGCTACTTCGTGATTCAGCATATCATGGAGCCATGGCTGGTTCAGAGTGCTCGCAGACCACCGGTAAGTTTCAAACCAGGGCCTAATAAAAAGTGTCCCCTTTCATTTTCTCTGCCACACTTTGAAGCTCCCTTTTTTTCTCCTGCGAAGGAGGGAGGTCTGAGTGGCTTTGAAAACTCTGGCATGACACTCAGCAGTGCTGTGTGCCGTGCTTCCTCAAGAAAGATATGGCTGGACTGAAAGGGTGCACTGCATCGCTGGTGTTTGTTTATCGTTGGATTTATGTTTCTCCGTGGGTGTTTGTGGATGTAAGGGTGTTAATTAGATATGAGTCGCTTGCTGCAGGGATAAAATGACTTGCTCATATCTAAGCAGAAATGACAGTCATGTATATTTCATCTCGGCAGTAGCAGGAGATTTATCCCATTTTGCTCCCAGCTCTGGTAGTCTTTGACCTATATAGCCTCAACCATGTGTGAGGATCAGCAGTTTTTTTAGCCAAAATGTACAGTTCATTGATTTATATTGCTGTTTCTACAATAATAACAAGGCTGCCCACTCATTAGAATTGATCGATTGTTCATAATGTTTGACAAGGATGTCCTGTGAATGTATGTAGAAAAAAGGCAGAAATATATCAGGAACAAAACTTTGAGGAATCAGGTCATACATAATTGGCACTTTAGAGTTTGGCTTTAATGTGGAAGTCGGATATTTTCATCAACTCAATTTTTATTCCATAATATAGTATCCAAGTCCTTCAAAAACAAGAGTAATCTGTGCAGGTCTCGACTTATTAGAAACAAATAGAATATGTATTCCAGTCGTATTATGTCTCTTCAGTTTATTCAGAGAAAACCTAAATTGCAAATCTGGGATGTGCTTGATTTGCAACTTTGAATGTGCTGAAATGTCAATCTGTATAATAAGGAGACCCTGCATTTCATTTAGCAAGCAATTCCCCCTAATCTTATGGTGTACATCTAAAATAGTTTAATTAGGCCATTATTTGTTTGTAGAATTAGATTTTAAATGCATATTTATAAAGTTTTTGTCACTTTAAATGATTTTAAATTGGATACATCCCTGAAAATACATACAAATGCATATCAAGATTATGCGATTTAATCTAGTTTACAATAGTATGTTCCCAGAAGCTCTCTCTCTACAATCAATACAGTACATTCCCCAAAGTAAGAAATCAGATGGTAATCATTTTGAATGAAGTTTTATCAGCATCCTAGGAGAAGTTCATCTTAGAAAATGTCCTGTAAAGTTGTATGCCCTCTTTTTTTATCTAAATGATACTTGATTATCTCATGAGAATGTTTTTTTTCTTCTGCACAAATCAGCCAATAAATAAAAGAGGAACTGTGGCAAATTTATCTTTGTCATCCTGTCTTCAAGGGTTTGAATGTTGACAAGTGGATATGTGTATTAACGGTGATTTAGCTTAGCAGAATGTAATTATCATAGAAAACATTTTGCTGTCTGTTGGTGACAGATTCACTTCAGACAACCAGGTTTGACAAGCTGCTTGAAACACATGTTGGTCATGCCCAGATTTTATGGATTGATGCCTTGGTAAGCCAGGAAATGACTGATGGCAGAAGGGAGCTGCTCACTTTCAAAATGTGCCACATTTTCAGCTTTACTGTTGTTTTATGTAGTGTTCCCACAGGCTGCTTCATGTGGAGGTCTTTTGTGTTTGTGGTCTTTTGTATGAAGGGTTTATTTTTTTTCTTATGGTTATACCACGCAGCATAAAAATATATTTTTTAATTAGCTAAAACCCCTCTGGTGTTCTTTCATACCCTTCCATTTCTGGTGTTGAAGAAGCTGGGTGTGTTCCCTCCAGATACTAACAAGTTGATATCTTTGCACACATCAGTTTTGACGGCACAATGACAGAATGTACCTACATTTCCCATCATGAGGATCCATTCCTGTAGTTCGATCAGTTCAGAACAAGTTCAAAAGAGCATTCACTCAAAAGATTATCCTTTTGTTTTCCTTCCCATCTCTCTCTTTCTTTTTTATTAAATTTTTTTTGACATCACACTCCTTGACATTCTTTTTCTTCTGCCTCTGCTAGGCTTGCAGCAACAAAAAGAAGCCTGGTTTGACATTTCCTTTCCACCTACCTGGGTAAAGGAGGGGAGTGGCCTCTCCCTGCAGTGTACCTTCACATCAGACCTGCTTCCTTTCCAGCAGGACGTCCTCTGGTTCAGAGATGGTTGTGCAACTGGAGTCGCTTGTGGCACATTTTTGGCAGTTTAAATATGGTACACTTCTGACACTCAACCATGCTGTCATCCTCCAGGCATACAGCTGCAGCAGTCCAGCAATGTGGACATTAAGACGTTTGACAATAAATCCATCATCACTATGATGGCTGTGTACAAGGAGCATGAAGGTGTTTATAGTGCCAGACTGAGGACCAGGGATGGAACTGAGGAACACTTGGCTTTTGTCTACCTTAAAGGTGAGAAATAAGATGAAGGCATTGATTAAAAAAAGTGAGTTGCAAGAGGAATCATACCACCTTGGATCTTTTTGATCTTTTTGCATTTTGTCACATAACCACAAAAAAAAAAAAAACACAAAACAAACATTTTATTGGAATACACTTTTTTTCAGTTTTACTTACATGAATCAGAAATGTGACATGCATTTTAAACATGTTAAACAATGTTTTCTACACAGCAGAGACCAAAATTATAAAACAAACAACATTCTGGTTTGTGATTTTTCTACCCAGTTTTACTTTCAAGGTCTTCTAAGTCTCTCCGACAATGCCAGGGGAACTACCTCAGGCCTCTCAAAAAACTTGGAGCCCAGATTTCTTTTACAGAGTCAAACTCGATGTTTTTCAAACTGACGGGTACTTTGGAGTCACCTTTAGAGCTTGGAGTGTGGAATCATCATTTGCTGTCCCATCCGAGATAAATAGTGTTTGAGCAACCTCGCCTCCTCCAAACACCGGTTGTCGTCACCAAATTCTGGTTTTGCTTTCATTTCCTGTCAGCAAACAGCAGTGATTCATACACTGAAATTGCACCATCAATCAAACTGTTCTGCAGCGGAGAGCTTGTTAACTTCATTCTGTGGAACTATATGGTCTTCATGGACTGCAGTTTTACCTCTGACACGGCATCTGCAGAATGTATATAAACCACTTGGAAAAACGCTCAGCTTTGTGAGGATGCTTGGCTCGTGTTTGTTTTTCATTGTGATGCAAGTGTGTGTCCCTCAGAAGGAGTTTGATATGCTTTGCATCATTCATAAACTTTGTGTGCACAACATATGACTCCAAATACAGATATAACTTTCTGCAAAGCTTCTGTTTTCATCTTGTCTCAGGCCTCGGTTGCAAACATTAAAGAGCAGAGCCTTTATAACAGTTGGAGTAACTAATTAGTAAGTCTTCTAACTACTCTGCAAGTAAACTTCCTGATTAATTCAGTTGTCATATTTGCATTCCAAGCGTGTATAGCATTGCACAAAAAACAAATAATTGGAGGTCTAAGGGATAAAAACAGATGCACGTGATGGCGACTTCTTTTTGTTGTTTGAAAATATATTTCTAGCATGAGAAAGCGGTTTGGAAACGTCAATGTATTTCTTTAATCCCTTCAAAAAAAGGCAGATTTTCTATGTGTTTTTGTAGCTTCTCTCTGTCGTTGTTTAAGTTACATTGTGCATGTTTGATCTAGATTCTTTGGTTATTTTTACAGCTTATGTAAGAGCAAATGCTAACCCCCCAAAAAGTTTAGATTAAGTCTTTTTCTGATAAGCAAACGATCCATAATAATTAAGTGTTGGATTTTTTTTCCCTAACTTTCAGCATTCTTTTTCTGACTCATTACTGTTCTCACTTAGATGGGTCGGCTGCAGTACCAGGAGGTCCTGCATCTCCTTTGGCAGTGGAGGTGTCCGATGTCAACAAGGACTACGTCTTTCTGACCTGGCAGCCGCCCAGTGCTGATGGAGGATCACCTGTGGAGGGCTATTATGTGGAGAGGTGAGAATCAGTCTGACCTAACCTGTACGTCAGATTTGTTCTGCACTTACAATATTTATAAATCGCAGATTAAAATTCAAGTTAAGTCTTGGCAAAAGAGACCCACTTAAAAGTTCAATGCTTCACTCATTTTTTTTGCTGCCCAGTAAGTTCAGACATTTGACTCAGTACTACTTAATTTTATCCCTGCTGGCAGTAATAGTAGTCAAATGTGAGACTAATTATACTGTGTGTCTTTTTTTTATTATCTTCTGAAGTTTCTTCTATTTGCCAAATGTTCCTGATCATTTTTCATTTACAGACTTTTTACAGACTTTTTCAGTGATGCTTGACTCTGATTTCGAATCAGGTAGTAATGAAACGTTTGTCTCTTTTTAGAGAGCCGGCTCTTTTAGCACAACTCTCAAAGTAGAAGTAGCTCTTTTGGCTCCGAAATGACTAAATTTATTATCATCTGTAACCTTATATTTTAACTTAACTTTGGAAATAAGAATGTCGTCTATGTTGATAAATCACTTTACATTTAATGTTTTTATGAGAAGCCCTTTACTTGCCTAATTGCCTGATTTGTGTTATGTTGCAAAAGCAGATATTTTTTTCCTTTTGTGTAATATTTTGACCAAACTTTTAGTTTTTTTAACACAATGTTTTTAACATAACTCTGCAAACAAATAACTGTTGCATTTTTTTATGTAACTATTCACTAACTAAAAATGTAACATTTTGCCTTTGCATTTTTATTTATTACATATATATATTTTACCTGTGATTGTTTCATTATTTTCTGCATCTGTTTTACTTTCCATTCCAACTTGTCTCAGAACTGCTGTCAGAGAAAAACATCTCCACAGGGGTTGTCATATGCACTGGCAAATTCACAGCAGGCTGCTGTCTGTGTGTTTCAGGCAGGAATGACTTTTGTGTGACCAACATAAAAGCCTACTGGTTAGAGAAATGCACTGATAGTTGTCCTCGGAGGTTCAGTATGCAGAAAATAAATTATTCCTTTCTGCTTTACTCCAAGACTGTTTGTACCATTTTTGTCTGGCTTAATAGCTGCATTCAATCATTCAGTACAATTTATATTCATGAAATAAAATCCAGGGTTTAATGTAGTAATAAAGACTGCAGAACACAAGTTGAGCAGATGAACAAGTTAAAAACAGATGAGAGTTGTCTTGAATGATTCAGCTTTAGAATGAAAGAGGCTTGTTGCTCTCCCAAAAATGCTCCTGAAAATATTTTTTTCTCCAAAGCTGCACTGTCCTGCTGGTTCAAAGGACAATTCTGTGCAGTTTTGTCTTCATTTTCACTCTGACATACACCACCATCTTCGGGACCTCATATAAAGAAGTGTGTGCTCTCCTTATTAAGTCTTTAATAATTCACTAAGCACATGTGGACTTTCATTAAGCTGTGTAATCACCTCAAGAACCTCTGAAAGAATTGAAATCCACCAGCATCCTGCAATGAGTCTCTCTAAGAATGATCAGACACTTCTGTTTTGGGAATAAAACCAACCAAACAACATAAAACTAAAAATTAATATCTTTTCTTCTACTTAGAATTGATTTGTTCTCCATTCGGAGTTAAATTTGTATTTAAAACATTAAACCTTTATAGTTGCTATGAAGATTACAGTTATCATGAAGATAGAGAAACAATTTCGATTCCATTGTATGTCTTGCATATGATTCAAATTGACAATAAAGTATACAAAATTGTCTTATTAAATTATTTGTAAAATGAAAAGTGAAAAGACAGCAAATTGAAGACATTCATCCATGTCTAAATCTGCCAGAAAATGTGTTAAGGATGATCAGTTAGGGGTAACTAAAACTGAACTTCACTGTGTTAGCAAAGGATACATGTAGGCAAAACATACTGGCTAAAAGCAAATGGCTTTCAATGTATTTTTCTAGTACCTAAATAACATTTGTGAACAAAGCATGACAAAGACAAACGAATACAGCAGACAGGTAAGAGAGAAGGAGTTCTTAAGAAAAATCCACCATCTCAAAACGAATGGAGGATAATAATAAAACTGCAAACCTACCAAGGCACGGCCATCCTTTTAAACTGACTTTACTGCTGCAGCTTCTCTTATAGATTCGGGCAACTTTGGCTCATTATGTTGTCTTCTTTCAATCTGAAGGTTCTGGTTCAATTTCAAGTGTAAAGTACTTTGAATAGTCAGTATGAAAAATTATATAAAAGTCCAGTCATTTTACAAATGGTTAACATTTGATTTCATTTGTTAATTAGGTAATCAACAACAGTCTGAGTGATCCTTTCACACTTACATTAACATTTTACTGCAGAGGTCCTAAAGGAATTGTCTTCTCAGCTGATTGAAGCAATAGAAATGACAGATTGGATGTGTTTCGTTAGCATTACCAAGTAAGCTATGTCTGTTGAACTAGAAGGTAATTGATTTTATAAAATAGGGACTTCTAGTGGCTGCAGTGCAGAGCCAACTTTTATTGCTTTTCTATCTGAGGCAGCAACATGCAGGTGTTTTGCTGCATGCATTTCTTGGCACAGTGTTGCCTATAGTAGAAGTGACACGCTCAGCATAATCTTTTCTCTAAACAGCACCACATTGGAAAAGCACGCACATAAAATCCAGGAAAGATTAGGGGTTCAGAGTAAATTCATTTTCAGGTGATAAATGTTTTAAGTATCTGGAAAATGTGTCTTTTCAGATTGGTGTGTGCATCATTTCCGTGTTTACTCTTGATTATGATCTCCCATCATTGTAGAAGAGAAAAATCCTCAATGTTTTCGAGTTTCAATATAAGGAGAGGAAAGATGTATTCCAGTTCCTAAGCAACCTCCTTCTTACTCTTTTCTGAATTTGTTTTGTGAAAGTCCTCTGAATTTTTATGAAGTATTTTTTCTTTTTTTACATGACCATGACATATAATCTCAGGTTGATTTCTCCCAATTATAGAGCATGGAGGGTTTACTGATTTGCTTTGTTGTTGTAGGGGTTGGATTATTTTATAGTTTGTTTCTCTATAAATTGTTCACATCTTTTGTTGTGTAAATATATTATTTATTTTTTCTGTACTTGCCTAAATTTCCCTGTGACTGTGATTAATCTCTTCCTCTCTTATTATTATTTTTTTTTTTTTTAGGTGTGACCTCAGTCAGGGAGAGTGGGTGCGCTGCAATGTGGACATTCAGAAAATATGCCACTTTCCCGTGTTTGGCCTGAAGGAGGGGGCTCTATACCAGTTCAGAGTTTGTGCTGTGAACAAAGCCGGGGTGGGACGTCCCTCCAAAGCCACAGAGCCTGTCCTCACTGCAGACCCTCTTGAACACACCAGGACAATGGGTATTACTTATGGGCTGCATGGCATTAGGAAGACATGACGATGCAACATTATATCTGGGTATTGGATTGTCAAATTCAGATTAACCCATATTTTCTTCACAAACCTCTTTGCCAAATTTTATACATGACTCAAGGTAGTCATGATTCAAGTGCCATTCTCCTGGCAGCTCCCAATGCAAGACATTTTCATTGGATTGCTCAACAGCATGTTTTGTCACTCCAGAGAACATGCCTCCAATGGTAGCATCCTTTAAGGCATTGCTCCCCATTGCACTTGATCTGAAGGTGCAATGTAGCTGCTTGGCCAAGAAAACCCATTCCATTAAGCTTTCAGTTAGCTGAAATTGAGCTATTCTGCAACATTTTATCATTTTGCACATCAGGTCTTCCACTTTGTGGCCAACTTGTTGTTGTTTCCATGTTCTAACATTTGGTTATAATACCACTAACAATTGACAATGGGATATCTAATAATGAGAAAATTTAACAAACTGACAAATGGCAAAAAAAAAAAAAACAACTAATATGGCTAGAAATAAGCAAATTTCAGGAAGATTTTTGCTCCAACAGATTTATCTCTGGTTATTTAGATTCAGCATATCTGAATTTAGGTGTTTATCCAACACGAATGAATGGTGGAATTATAATAAAATTATCTTCAACACAGTTTTAGTTCAAGGGTCTGCACACATTTGTTAAGTTAATGTGTATGAAATGGTTTGATTATGGTTATGAAAGGGAAATACGAACTGATTAGTACTTGTGAGGGGCAAGTTGAACCCTAACTTAAGTTCTCTGTTACATTTGTGTTTACATTTCTTGTTAATATTACAATAACCAAGTAAAAAACAAAGAAATGAGAATTTCAAACACAAAGTCTGGTATTTAGGTTTGTGCTTCACATATCCAAATAAAAAGTTTAAAGCCTTTTGTGCCTCTACTATTAAGTCATTCTAATTGCTGGAAAACCACTATACGCTTAGAGTTGAAAGGGATTCTCCCTGAGGCTCCAATTAACCATAAAATGTCCCACAATATGGTCCTTTTGCTTTTGTGTGGAAGCTTCTGTGTGTCTTATCTTTCCCCGCCTATTTATTCAGGCTTTTGCTTTGTGTCTCATCGACATCTGCAGTGTGCTGCAAAGATCATCAGCAAAGCATTCACGACTCTCTCCTGGTGTTTATTCACCTCATTTGCCTCAGTTGCCCTGTTATACCTGCAAAGAAATGATCAGTGCCAGAAAAAACAGATGTAGGTGTGCAGATTTAGATCTCATCCGCAGCCGCCGGGTTATTTCTGTGACAGCATCTTAATGACATCGTTGAGAAAAATGTTTTGTTTCCAAAAAGATGACTTAAAAAGCATTTCTTGGTCTTGCTAAATATTGGATTCAAAGGGGGGGTATTTGAGGGAGAATGAGATGTGTGTGTGTGTGTGTAACGATGAGGACAGATGGGCTGTGGTCAGATGCCGTGGATCATTAAACACGGATGAAGGACAGACAGAAGGTTCACTCGCCTCTGGTCTTCTTTCCATCTTCCCGTCAAGCTGTTGTTCATCTTTTTTGTCTGCACCTCTAACATTTGCAAGAAAATGGTGTCATCATTACCTCTGCGTAACTCCATCGCCCCCCTATGTCTTCTCTCATGTCTTCTCCATCTTCTCTTATCTCAGTGGTCCAAGTGGACAGAGGAAGGACCATTACCATTACAAAAGACGAACTGGAAGGTGAGGATGTCGTGTTTTTACTTTAGTTCTGATTCTGTCTCAAAAGGAGCGTATCTAACACATGATTTACTTTTCACCGGAACACACACCGCCACCCCCACATCTGTAGGTTGCCGCAGGCTCATGGCTTTAATGCATCTCCATATTATGTTTAACAATGAGCTGCAGTAATTGTGCAGCCGCAGCAATGAGCATTTTCTCCATTTGCAGCTGTGAAAGGAGCAAAAAGTCCCCAGTGGTCTTCCAATAAATGCACATAATGGCTCGAGGTAGAGCGAATGTCTATGAAAGGGGGCCCGATAACCTTGACTGTGTACCACACATAGAGAGAATGGTGAAAGGATGGAAGAAGATGAAGCCACCAGAAAATAACTGCAGCCTGGAGGATACAATCATACTTTTGGATTCTGCTCTATGATGGAGGCTTACAGTGGAATGCATTTACCCAGGTGGTGAGGCTTTTAATGTAATGACTAGAACATAATTGGGAGATTAAGCTTCGTCGAGATCAGCTTAAAGAGCTCAAATTTTCCTTTTGGTTGTGTTTATTTGTCTATTTTGGGGCATATTTTGCTGACTGGTTTGTTATTTTTCTATTATTTTCGCTAAATAGTAGAAATGCAGCACTTGCTATAACGATTGCCATGGCTGATTTTTAACATCTTATTTTTGCAAGGTTTGACTGCTTGTTCTGATTTCTTTTCAAAATATAAGAAGATATAAGAATGGTATGTGAGATGCTCTTTCAAATTGGAATGCATCACACTGTCTAGTAGACAATCTTATTTCTTTTTTATTGTACGTTTTGTGTCAGAAAAACCTCTTGCATCTCTACAGTAATTGTATGTATGAAACAAAACGTCCTGAGTCATTCTCATTACACACTGTACTCAGAAGAAGTTGCTTTCCTTTTTACCTGATCAGCTTTCTTCAAATCTTTGCTCTCCTTGTGCAGAGGAGAGCTTTCTCTGTACTTTCTCCAGCTCTGCAAACTCTTCAGGGAAAACAAACATGGAAACTTGCATAGTTTCAGATGGAACAACATCATTGCCCAGACTTTCACGGTCCTTCACCGCCTTGTAGAGTCCTTGAGCATTTGCTGACTCAACCTATCCAATGCTATTTGGTACACTTGACATATAAGGAATAGAGGTTAAACTGAAGCAGAGAAGGTTTGAGTGTCTCTCCCATTGTGAGGCCGTATCAGCTCCAGCAGACGCAACTTGAAGAGTTTTACAATGAGAGGAGAAAAGCTGTAACTCAGCCAACTCTTTTCATACTGACCTTGTTTTTCTCTTGTTTTCATCCTCCTCCTCCTCACTTTGCTCCGCAGGTCAGGTCAAAGCTCCTTTTCCTCCCACAGACGTCCGCGCCTGCGAGCTGAGCGACACCTACGTGGTGCTGAGCTGGACCGAGCCTGAACCCCGAGGCAGGGAGCCGCTGACCTTCTACGTGGAGCGGGTCGGTCCTTACGCCAACGCACACCTCCCCAGACACACACTTACGCACACAAAAAAAAAAACAAAAAAAAAACAGGGATTCATATTTTATCAGCTCTGAAAGCAGATTAGCTGCAGAGTAATTTCATTTCATATTGTAATCATTAGCTCCAGGTCATATGAATGTTTCCCAGTTTTTAAGCAATCAGGAGTTAGACTTTTAAAAGTCTTCTGCACAACACGTTTGTTCACCCTGTTTATTTTTTCCGAGTGTAAAGCTTTTGGTCGACAACGAAAGTTTCAAGAAGAAAAGGGTCTCAAGAGTTGAACATTTAAATTTCTTCCGTTTTGGATTGTTATGCATTTCAAAGCAGAGGTGCTTTCAAAGTTTTCTCTTGTAATGTGTTTGAATGACACAGCAGGGAGATAGAAAGATGATGTTTTGCTGTTTCCACAATTTACAGAGCTTGTATGAGCCACGTCAGGAGCCGTTTTCTCTGTGTTTCTCCCCAGTAGCTGAGGTATTTAATGCAGGGTTCACACCGGATGCATCATCAGTCCTTCATTTTTTCATCATCGAAAGACACAGACACTTCCTGTGACTTTATAGCAAATTAGAGCAACCAAATACCTTAACATCCATACTTTTAGACTACGTTTATATGGGGAGAACATGCCAACTCAAAGACTCCTGGGTCAGAATTTGAACCCAGAACCTAATTGCCGCAGGGCCACATATTTTTGTGGTTGTTAAGAATTTGTGAATTCCAGTACCATTGAACGTCAGGGTCAAACACTACATCAACTGGAAAACATCAAGCAGGGTTTGATTTCTGTCACGCGAACATAAGATTTTTCCACTGATTTTAGAGAAGGGTATGAATAATTTTTGATATTCCTTTTTTTTAAATGAAAATACATATAAAACAGCAAAGTTACATTGTTCAAAACAGATACTCCCATCGTTGGACAGATGGCTGTATCACTTCCTGTCAGAAACAAATTTCTTGGTTGAACAACAATTTAAATCTAAACCTTTCAGCTATAGAAATATTTTCAGACATATCTCTCATAAATTGTATGTAAAAAGATGTTTCATATTCATCAACAGGTCCACTTTCCAGATTAATTTAAAGTGTATCTTTCTTTATGAACGCTGTCATTGGACATTCTGCTCAACATGGTATTTGTTGCAGATATTTTATTGTAGAGTGTGAGAACATCGGAGATGCCCTGTATGCAATTTGCACAAACATTTAGTTTAGTAAAATTTATGTGGGATATTTAAATTCATACAACTAAGGATAGAGCACCAAAAAATAATTTAAAGCTCTACAGAAGAGGCACAAAAAGCCACAGAGGACATCAGGAAATGTATGTTAGGTTTGCCTCAGATGGGTGCGTAATTGTGTTTCTCCCAGAGAAAAGAATAAGACCCGGAAAAGAATAAGCAGAATAAGCAAGAATAAGCAGGTATGAAAAATCAATGGATGGAGCCAGCTCCCTCTTTTTACAATATTTTCTCAACTATAAATTTAAGGTTCAAAGTGATGACAGAAGCAGATCAAAAATGTGAGGCTGACCTGCTCTTTGCAACAATAGAGAGCCTTGGCTCCTCGATATCAACTCCGGGACTGAACAGCTCCTGACTTCAATAATCAGAAAACTGCCACAGGAAATAGATTTTTATTGAGGCTTTATAAGTTACTGAGGTAATAAAACTGTCAAATCTCTCAAAGGCACCTGAAATTACTAAAGTCTGCAGCCTCACTTCTGCTTATATAATGAAGTGAACATTCAAATATCCTTTTTGCCCTCAAGCAAGCACTTTATAATCACTCTTCTCTTTTACCATACCTGCTCTTTTGTTGGGATTTCTACCGACAAAACAATGACTTAGGAGAGGAAATGTGAAACCCACAGAGTAGGAACATAGAAATGCAAATAAGGAATATAAAAAGGGACCTGTTTGGTATAGTTTTAGTTTCTTGAGAGACTCTTTCAGTGACGGGTAAATAGAACTAGACACACAAAGACATACGTCTTCATTTCCATGTGTTTTCATTTAAGGGTCTGATTGGCTGAAATACCTAAGCTATTTTTTTTTAATTTACACTTTTCCTTTTTTTATATATATTTACATTAAATTTATTTGCTTGAATCAGTCCTTGGCAGGGAAAAACAGCTGGGAACTGGCCAGTCTGGACACGGTGGTGAACTCTCCCAGGTACCCAGTGTTTGATCTGGTCAAAGACAAACAGTATTGCTTCAGAGTTCGCTCCATCAACAAGTATGGTGTTAGCGACCCCTCCGACCCGAGCCCACCAATTTCCCTTGGAAAGCCACAAGGTAGGAGAAGATGAGTACTGGTGCCCATTTATTACTTTGTCTGCTCAAAGGTCAGTTACATAATTAAGACTAAATTCCTGAGTCAGCATTTACCTCCTATACAATGCTGCACCTGCAATAATTGTGCCAAGACACCACTGGCTTTATTCTGGAATCACAATACATGTGTAAAAAAGACAAAACAGGTAGTATCTTATTAAAAAACAAAATGAGAAGATGTGGGAAAATATTTTTTATTAACTCATTCCACAATGAGTTTATCCATGTCAAATCCCTGTTACGTCAATTATCAAGTTGTCTATAATATTGGAAGATTTTACATCCTTAAAGATGAAGCTTCTGGATGATTTAATTTCTAGGAAAGATTAGATAAAAATGCATCAGAGAAAACAAAAAAAAAAA